CCAGACGGGCAAAGAAACCTTCAAGATCGCCCCCAGACGGCCAAAGGGGCCCCCAAGAAGGGTCGAAGAGGGCCCAACAACAGCCCACGAAGCTCCCAAGACAGCCCAAGAGGGCCCCCAGACGGCTCCAAGACGGAGTCCAGAGGGTACCTTTTCGAGCTTTCGGCCCCACGACGCCCCCAGCCTGCCCCAAGAACAGCCCAAGAGGCCCTGAGGGACCCCCAAGAGAACCTCGAAGGCCTCCAAGAAGCCCCCAGGAAGCCACCAACAGGCCCCCAAAACTTGGCCCAAGATGCCTCGAGGCGGCCAGGTATGGCCTGCAGGCAGGCCAATGTGCCACCAGAAGGCCACAGAAGAGCACCAAGAGGTACGAGAACAGCAACGAAGCAACAGGAACGATGCCGAGCGCCGCGTCATGCTTCGGACAGGCCTCGTGACATGCAGTCCCGGAGGCGCAATCGTTTACATAGGGGTCGGCGGACGTGGCGTGAGCCTATAGAACCGACTCTAACAACAAGCGTCGAAACCTCCCAAGATACTTCGACAATCCTCTGTCCCCCCCCCGGAAAACGTCCTCGAGGGGAACGACCGGGGGGGGACTGGCTCAGGGGTGAAACATCGGGCTGAAATCGGCGATACGGCCAAGCCTAAAACAGAACTGCACCTGAGAAGACCCAATCAGTGGATGATTTGAAAATTCGTCATATGGATCTTGTGATCGATTGTGAGATCGATAATGAGTTACCTTCACCGGCGGTGGGTCCGCAAGATTGGGGCTTCGACTCCGGAATTGAAAAAGACCGATCCCCACCTTCAATATTGGGGTTCCCAAACTCCTGTAGTGATTATCCCGGCAAAGCAACCTAACAGCGATGTGTAGAAGCATATCTGAAAGCATTCCCCTTAAGATTCAGATGAAAATCCAGTTGTAGAATTCTGCTGTTCTCGCAGTCGTAGTCGCATTCGCGATGACGGTCGCAGCGGCAACGGCAGTCGCAGTCACAGCCTCAGCCTCAGCCTGCCTCAGCCTCAGCCTCAGCCTGCCTCAGCCTCAGCCTGCCTCAGCCTCAGCCTCAGCCTGCTTCAGCCTCAGCCTCAGTCTGCCTTCAGCCTCGGCCTCAGCCTCAGCCTGCCTCAGCCTCAGCCTGCATCAGCCTCAGCCTCAGCCTCAGCCTGCCTCAGCATCAGCCTGCCTCAGCCTCAGCCTCAGCCTGCCTCAGCCTCAGCCTCAGTCTGCTTCAGCCTCAGCCTCAGTCTGCCTTCAGCCTCGGCCTCAGCCTCAGCCTGCCTCAGCCTCAGCCTGCCTCGGCCGCAGCATCAGCCTGCCTCAGCATTCAAAATGTGGCCCAGGAATGGAGTTCTGGGAACTAGAAGAACACGAAGTGGCCTACAGTTGGCTCCGGGCATTCAAAATCATGCCCAGGAACGGAGTTCTGGGAACTTGAAGAGCACGAAGTGGCCTACAGTTGGCTCCGGGCATCCAAAATGTGGCCCGGGAATGGAGTTCTGGGAAATCGAAGAGCACGAAGTGGCCTACAGTTGGCTCCGGGCATCCAAAATGTGGCCCGGGAATGGAGTTCTGGGAAGTCGAAGAGCACGAAATGGCCTACAGTTGGCTCCGGGCATCCAAAATGTGGCCCGGGAATGGAGTTATAGCAGCGCCAAGAGCGATTTTGCGAGGATGTCCCGAGCGATTTCGGCTTCGGCGGCAGCCGCCCGGGTCCCGCCCCGACCCCCCTGTGGAGTCATCTGCTGCTCTCTTTTGAGACCACTAGAAACCTATCAGCAAAAGCTGTTAGGTAAAAAACCCAAAGTGGAGTTGTCAAACTCCGGATTGACATATTCACCTTTCCCAATCTTGGGGTTCCATATTGAGGTCCTGGTCCAATATCGGGGCTCCAACCCCGACATTGGGTTTCCAAAACCCGATATTTGGGGTTTTCAATTCTGGGGTTGGGAAGTCTAATATTGGACTTTCGGTTGGCCTGCGAAAATGGAGATTAGAGGCATATTTCCTCCTCCTCCTCCTCCTCCTCCTCCTCCTCCTCCTCCTCCTCCTCCTCCTCCTCTCCTCCCCCTGTTCTCCTTCCTCCTCCTCCTCCAACTCCTCCTCCTCCTCCTCCTCCTCCTCCTCCTCCTCTCCTCCTCCCCTCCCTCCTCCCTCCTCCTCCTCCTCCCTCCTCCTCCTCCGGGTTGCTGCCGATCTCATCGCTTAATCCACGCCCGCCCAAAACAGTCACCAAGAGGCTCCGGTGACTGATTTGGGGCGGGTCCTCCTCCTCCTCCTCCTCCTCCTCCTCCTCTTCCCTCCTCTGGTTGCTGCAAATCTTCATCGCTTAAATCCACGCCCGCCCAAAACAGTCACCAAGAGGCTCCGAGGACTGTTTTGGGCCGGGCGCCCGTGGCGAGAAAGATCGTCCTGGGGAGGTCCTCCCGCCTCCTTCCCCCTCCTCCACATCCTCGCTCCTCCTCCTCCTCCTCCTCCTCCTCCTCCTCCTCCTCCTCCTCCTCCTCCTCCTCCCGCCCATGTTCGGACAGCTCGGTCGTTGGCCGCGGTCGGCGCGGCCGAGCCCGCCGAGCTCATGAGTCCACCCTATGCTACGCCCGACGGGAGGGACTATCTGATACAGATTTTGCCGGCACGGCAGCGGAAGCGGAACCGCAAAGAGAACGAGGGGCTGCAGGAGGAGAGCGCGCGGGGAAGTATGAGAGAGGACTTTAATGTCCCGCCCGCCCGACTCGACCGGTCCACAAAGGCAAGATCGCTCTACCTCGCCAGCTGCGTCCGACGTTCAAGTCCCGCCCGCCCGACCCGGCGCTCGCCCGACCCGACCGGCCCGCTAGGGCAAGCGTGTGCTACTTAGAGAGCTGCGTCGACCTCTAAGGTCCCGCCCGCCCGACCCGACCTGCCCGCTAGAGCAAGCGCACGCTACCTCGAGAACTGCGTCGTGCTTTCATGTCCCGCCCGCCCGACACGACCGGCCCGCTAGGACAAGCGCGTGCTACTTAGAGAACTGCGTCGACCTTGAACGTCCCGCCCGCCCGACCCGACCGGCCCGCTAGAGCAAGCGCCTGCTACCGCGAGAGCTGCGTCGTGCTTTCATGTCCCGCCCGCGGGGCTCCGCCCCGCCCAAAACAGTCACCCAAGGCTCTTGGTGACTGTTCTGGGCGGGCGGGCCCAAAACAGTCACCAAACGCCTCGGGTGACTGTTTTGGGCGGGGCGTGCTTTTCATGCCACGGCCTCCTCCTCCTCCCCCACCTCCTCCCCCTCCCCCACTCTGCCCGTTGTCTCTCCCCCGGGGACGTGCGAGCTTTTCCCTTTTCTCCTCTGGCCCGGCCTACGGCCTCGTACGTTCAATATTGGAGTTCAAACCCCAATATTGGGTTTGAAACCCAATATTGAGCTAGAACTCTATATTGAGATTTAAATTTCAATCTTTCAATATTTCAATTCTGGAATCCAGAATTGAACCTTTTCAATAATTCAAATTGCGGCTTCCAACTCCAATATTGAAGTGGCGGCGGCCGAATTCAATTCCGAAATATTGAGGTCGCCGATTGAATATTTGAATGTTCAATCGGCTGGGGACCCACCCAGGGATTGGTTACGATAGTGAGATCGATAATGTAATCGATAGTTGACGATTGTAAGGTCGATCGTGGGACCGAGAGTGAAATCGATTCAATAAGATCGATCGGGAGATCGATCGCGAGATCGCTCGTGCGATCTCTAGTGAGATCGCTTGCGAGATCGATTGTGAAATCGATTGTGAAATCGATGGTGAGATCAATAGACAGGTGGGAAATTACATCGATGCTGAGACCGATCGATAAGAAGATCGACCAAGAACCCTGGAACATGGGAACCTGGGAACCTCGCCGCCCACCGAAATCGGCCTGGGAACCAGGAGCCCGGGAACCCGGAGCCGGGAACCCGGGAACCCGGCCTGCCACCAAAATCGGCGTGAAACATTCGCCTTCTCTTTCAATATCCGCTACGACCCCTTCAGTGCAAGCACTGATTGGGGAAAAACACCCTTCAAGAACATGAGGCCCTCCACCGGCCAAACTGAAGAACGTTCAAGGGTACCCTCCCCCTGGATGGCACAGAAACCCAACGAACACGAACATGAGTGTACCCTCCCGAACCGACCTCGGTCTTATACCTCGGTCCGACCGTACATCGCCGGTACATCGGCGGGAGGCCCGCGATAGCAAATCCTCACACTCCTGGGCGGATCCGTATCGGCGATCCATGGGCGATTCGGGGTCGACGCGTTCCCTCCTGAGTCGATCCTCGCCTACTCGCTGGCTGGGATCGGCGATACATCGCCGACGGGTTGGCGGTAGGACCCCGATAGCAGAAAAGCCCACGTTCCTGGGCGGGGTTAAGGCTGCCAGGCTCCTATAGCAGCGATCAATGGGCGATTGGGGGTCGACGCATCCCCCGCTGAGCCGATCCCCCCCTACTAACATTACCCTCGGCTTTTTTTCGGGTCATAGCTCCACTCTCCGGCGGCCCTTCGGGACGAGCCGGGCACCCCCGGAACGCTCTCGGCGAGGAGCAGCTGCCGGAGCAGCTGCCATCGAGAATCGGCGAAAGCAATGTCCGAACCGAACACCACAAACTTCGAGCCCCCTGAGCCTAACCCCCCCTCACGTTGCCCCTGATCCCTCCCCCCACAAGGGACGAAACCCGTCCTGGTGGCCACAGGTCTTCGAAGCCTCATATCTTTTGCATTAAAAAAAGCATCCGACTTCGAACCTCGAGCGACGGCGAAAACGCGCGAAAACCTCGAGCTTCGAACCCCGAACGCAGGCGAGAACGCCCGAAAAAACCTCGAGCCTCTCGCACCCCGAACACCTCGCACGCCGGCAAAAAGCTCCCGAAAACCTCGCGCCTCGAGCCTCGAGCCTCGAGAACGTCGGGCGAGAACGTCCGCAGACCCCCCCCCCGAAATAGGGCGCGGGCCGCCCCGGCGGCCCCTCCGCGCGGGGCCTCCCAGCGCAGGCACTCCTCGCAGGCCGGCTCCCGCTGCCGGCCGGCCTCGCGAGGTGTACAGGGCAGGTTTTAATACATAGGATGTTGACACAAATATAGGAATTTAAATTACATGCATGATAAGTTTATGAATAGAATACATTAACGCATAAACTCATCCCTGTATTTACTATAATCAACCCTTTACTTTCAATACATGGTCCGCACGCGAAGCATGTATAAAAACGGCACTGTACGGCGCGAGGCCGGGCGCGGCGAGGCCGCCGCAGAGGGGCCTCGCCGACGGCGTCGCCGCCAGGGTTCCGCAGCCGACCCGAGCTGCTCACGAGGACGCACGAGAGGGATGGTCGTCCTCGTCGTCCTCGTCGTCCTCGTCGTCGTCCTGGGACTTGTGCGGTCATCCTCGTCGTCGTCGTCGTCGTCGCCGCCGCCGTCGTCGTCGTCGTCGCCGCCGCCGCCGCCGTCGTCGTCGTCGTCGTCGTTCTCGTCGTTGTCGTCGTAGTCGTCGTCGTCGTCGTCGCCCTCCTCGTCGTCGTCTTCGTCGTCGTCGTCGTCGAGCGCAAACTACAACCAGCCCGTATGATAAGGACGCACGGTGCGGATGCGAAGGCCTTGGGAGGTCACGTCGACACTCTGCGAGCGGGGCGCGGCCAGCGAAAGCGGCCAGGGATGGGCCGCAGGGGAAGGATGCTGATGATGATGATGATGATGATGATGATGATGATGATGATGATGATGATGATGATGATGATGATGATGTGAGCGCTTTTTCCTGCTATCTTCTCAGAAGATGTGGCGTGGCTGAAAACAGAGGCTCTGCAGGACTTCACCGTCCCTGCATGTATCCTTGCTGGCTAAGCGAATTGAGCCTACGTAGATGCCAACGGATCTCAAGCAACCGCCGCCGTTACGACGCATCCTGGCTATGTTTCAGAGCCGGCGCCGTTACGACAAATTCTGGCTATTTCCTCACTGGGAGGGCTGACTGTCTTCGGCGGGCTCCGAAGCCCTGGATCCAAACATGCTGGCGCCTCGCTCTCTCTCTCTCTCTCCTCCCGCCGCCGTCCGCCGGCCTCTCCGCCCACCGCGAGGGTGAGCCGCAAGCGAGGCCCTCGTTGGAACGCGACACACGTTCCTGTCAGATACTCCAGATTTCGTAATAAAGGGAGGGGGGTCTCATTTCGGGGGGGGGTCTCTTCCAGGCTATCTTGGAGGGCCTGGGGGGGTCTGGGGACGATGTTTTGGAGGGTTCTCCCACGGGGGAGGTCTGAAATGGCTTGTCTTGGAGGGTCCAGACCCCCTCCCTTTTATTACGAAATCTGGAGTAGCTGCATTCATGCCCGGCGCATGAGTTGCACATGGGTTCCACGCGCTGGTGCCGCCCAGCCTGGTCGCATGCGATCAGCTACAGCCAAACAGTACCCTCAGAAGAACGCGCGACAAGGACGCGAGGGCCTTGGAAGGCCACTTCGAAGCTCGAACGTCGGCGAACAGGCCTGCAAACAGCGAACTTCGAACCTCGAACTTCGAACCTCGAGCGTCGGCGAAAACGCCCGAAAACCTCGAACCTCGAACGTCAGCGAACAGGTCTGCAAACATCGAACTTCGAACCTCCAACTTCGAACATCGAACGTCGGCGAAAACGCCCGAAAACCTCGAACTTCGAACGTCGGCGAACAGGCCTGCAAACATCGAACTTCGAACCTCGAACCTTGAACCTCGAACGTCGGCTGAAAACGCCCGAACACCTCGAACCTCGAAGCTCGAATGTCGGCGGAAACTTCCGAAAACCTTGAACCTCGAACCACGAACGTCGGCGAACCCGTCCAAAACCGTAGAACTTCGAACCTCGAACCTCGAACGTCGGCTGAAAATGGCCGAAAACCTCGAGTCTCGAACCTCGAACCTCGAACGTCGGCGAACGCGTCCGTAAACCTCGAGCTTCGAACCGAACCGAATCCGAACGTCGGCGAAAATGTCCGCGAACCTCGAAGCTCGAACGTCGCCGAACTTGCCTGCAAACATCGAACTTCGAACCTCGAACTTCGAACCTCGAACTTCGAGCCTCGAACGTCGGCCAAAACGCCCGAAAACCTTGAACCTCGAACGTCGGCGAAGATGCCTGCAAACATCGAACTTCGTACCTCGAACGTCGCACCTCGAACGTCGGCGAAAACGTCCAACACCTCGAACCTCGAACGTCGGCGAAAATGCTGGCCAACATCGAACCTCGAACGTCGGCAAAAACGCCCGAACACCTTGAACCTCGAACATCGCCGAAAATGGCTGCAAACTTCGCACTTCGAACCTCGCATTCCGAAGCTCGAACGTCGGCGAAAATGCCCGAACACCTTGAACCTCGAACCTCGAGGGTCGGCGAAAATGCTCGAAAACCTCGAACCTCGAACCTCGAACGTCGGCGAAAATGCCGGCAAACATCGAACTTCGAACCTCGAACTTCGAACGTCGGCGAAAACGTCCGAAAACCTAGACTTGAACCTCGAACCTCGAACGTCGGCGAAAACTTCGGGCAACCTCGAACTTCGAACCTCGAACCTCGAAGCTCGAACTTCGAACCTCTAACGTCGGCGAAAACGTCCGCTAACCTCGAGCTTCGAACCTCGAAGCTCGAACATCGCCAGAACTCGAACTTCGAACCTCGGACGTCGGCGAAAACGCCAGCAAACCTCTAACCTCGAACCTCGAACGTCGGCGAAAACACTTTTTTGGTCGGCGGGGCGAGAGCGAACCTCTTCCGCTAAAAGCTAGGCGGGCTACGCACAGCTTTAATTAGGGAGACAGGGCACAGGAGGGCGGGGCCTCAGGCGGCCGGAGCGGGCGGAGCCCGGGGTGCAGGCGGTGCCGAAGAGCTTGCACAGGAAAAGGTACGTCGGCGAAAACACTCGAAAACCTCAAACCTCGAAGCTTGAACCTCGATCGTCGGCGCAAATGCCTGCAAACCTCAAACTTCGAACCTCGAACCTCGAACGTCGGCAAAAACGTTCGAAAACCTCGAACATCGAACATCGAACTTCGAACCTCGAACGTCGGCGAAAACGTCTGTCAACCTCGAACCTCGAACGTTGGCGAAAACGTGCGAAAACCTCAATCTTCGAACCTCGGACGTCGGCGAAACCGTCCGCAAACCTCGAACCTCGAACCTCGAACGTCGGCGAAAACGCCTGCTAACCTCGCACCTGCAACTTCGAACCTCGAACCTCGAACGTCGGCGAAAATGTCCGCAAACGTTGAACGTCGGCAAAAACCGTCGAAATCCTAGAACGTCGGCGAAAACGTCCGCAGAACTCGAACTTCGAACCTCGAACCTCGAAGGCCGGCGAAAACTTCAAAAACCTCCAACTTCGAACCTCGAACCTCGAACGTCGACGAAAACGTCCGCAAACCTCGAACCTCGAAGCTCGAACTTCGAACCTCAAACTTCGAACCTCTAACGTCGGCGAAAACGTCCGCTAACCTCGAGCTTCGAACCTCGAACCTCGAACCTCGAACGTCGGCGCAAGCGTTTGAAAACATCGAACTTCGAACCTCGAACTTCGAACCACGAACGTCGGCGAAAACGTCTGCTAACCTCGAACCTCGAACGTCGAACCTGGAACGTCAGTAGGAACCTGCCGATAACCTCGAACTTCGAACCTCGAACCTCGAACGTCGGCGAAAACGTCAGTAAATATCAGTAAATCTCGAGCTTCGAACCTCGAACCTCGAATCTCGAACGTCGGCGAAAACTTCCGACAACCTCGAACTTCGAACTTCGAACCTCGAACTTCGATCCTCGAGCGTCGGCGAGCACCTCCGCAAACCTCCAACTTCGAGCCTCGAACCTCAAACGTCGGCGAAAACGTCCGAGAACCTCGAATGTCGAACCCACCTCATTGCCCCTGATAAAGCCTCGAGCTTCGAACGTCCCGTGGCGGGGCCGCATCGCCGCGAGGGCGCGAGGGCGCGAAGATGACCGCGCATCGCGGGGCGCGAGGGTGCGACTTTAGGAGGCATAGATCCCCTCTCCCTCCACCCCCCTCCCTCCTCCCTCCTCCCTCCTCCCTCCTCCGCCTCCTCCTCCCTCCTCCTCCTCCTCCTCCTCCTCCAACTCCTCCTCCTCCTCCTCCTTCTCCTCCTCCTCCTCCTCCTCCTTCCTCCTCCTCTAGTTCCTCTCCTCCTTCCTACTCCGAACCTGGCAAACCAGCCTCGGCCCCGAACGGGGATCAAAACACTCACGGCAGACCCAGGACCCGCCAGGCAAGGGAACCTGGCGCGGGAGGGCCCCTTGGAGTCCGAGCCAAAACTTAGCAAAACTAAATCCTCCTCGCCGCCGCCCTCGAGACGGGGAACGGGACCGCCCCCCAGCGGCTTCCTGTCTGGGGCTCCCGCCCCGCTCTGAGCCGCTCGAGGGCGCGGCGGGCCAGGCGAGCCGCGTCGCGGCCCTTGCTGGCCAGCGGGACGCAGGGGTCGGCCAGGAGCTTCGCTTGGCGACTCCCGTGGGCCCCGCACGTCCGACAAAACACGAGACAGCCACCCGTCCCAGAGGACCTCCGACCCGGCCCGTCCCCGCCCCGAATCACCCAGAGCCTGTGGGACGGGTGGGACCTGGCGACCAACCACGGGAGTCCTGGACAGGCGCTGGCGACGACCCTGGCCCTGGTAGCCCGACGGATCCCGCAGACCGAACAGCCCCAGGCCCGACCGAGCCTGGCCAGGGCGTGGCCCCTGTCGGGCCCCACCAGGGCCAGGGTCCCAGGATCCGAGCCCCTGGGCCTAGGGATGGCCCCCCGATCGGGCCATCCGAGGTCGGCGAGTCTTTTCAGGATCCCCCCGTGGTGGCCACACCAGGCCTCTGCTTGCACGGCGGCGGCGTCCAGGCGGCGGCTCAACTCACGCAGTCGCTCCTGCCTGGGGTGCAGCCTGGCTCCTTCCTTCGCCTTCACGTCGGCCTCCCTGTTGCCCGCGAAGGCCAGCCACGGCACCTCCTCCTTCCTCTCCTCCTCCTCCTCCTCCTCCTCCTCCTCCTCCTCCTCCTCCTCCTCCTGCTCTCCCCTCCTCCTCCTCCTCCTCCTCCCTCCTCCTCCTCCTCCTCCTCCTCCTCCTCCTCCTCCTCCTCAACTCCTCCTCCCACTCCTGCTCCTGCTCCTCCTCCTCCTCCTCCTCCTCCTCCTCCTCCTCCTCCTCCTCCTCCTCCTTCTCCTGCTCAAGGGCACGGCGTGTCGCAGAGGCCGCCGGCGCCACGCGCGGAGAGCAACAGCTCCTGACCGCTCGGCGCGGCGCTTGCCGCTTCGCGCTCGTGGGAGGAGCAGGAGGAGGAGAAGGAGGAGGAGGAGGAGGAGAAGGAGGACAAGGAGGAGGAGGAGGAGGAGGAGGAGGAGGAGGAGGAGGGGGAGGGGGAGGGGGAGGAGGAGGAGGAGAAGGAGGAGAAGGAGGAGGAGGAGGAGGAGGAGGAGGAGAACGAGGAGGACAAGGATAAGATCGGGTGGGTATACAAATCGAGAATCTCTGAGATCAGGCGGCTCTGGAGGATGTCTCGGGCGCCGCAGCCTTCTCAGAGTGTTCCAGAGCGCTCTGCGAGCCTTCCATAACGCCCTGGAACGGATTTATCCTCGTCCTAGCCCCGTCCGAGCTCTGCCCCGTGGGGCGGGAGTGAGAGGCTGGGAAAAGATCGGGACGTTTACGGATCGATCCGCTGGTTCTGGCCCACGCCGACTCGATCCGCCGGTTCTGGACCTCGATCCTCGGACCTCGAACCTCGAACCTCGAGGCGAAACAACCTCGACCCTCGACACTCGATCCTCGGACCTCGATCCTCGGAACTCGAGGCGAAACAACCTCGAATCTCGACCCTCGACCCTCGCACTGGTAAGGCTTCGGGGTGCACACGAAGAGCATCGTCAGGGAGTCCCAGCCGGCCTCAACAGGACCCCCGAGACGTCCCAGCTTGCCTCAACAGTGTTGATATCGTCCAGCGCTACTCGGGAAGTCTGCTGAGGCCAGCTGGGACTACTCGAGGGGCCCGTTGAGGCCAGCCGGGGCTACCCGGGGGGGGCTGCCTGTGCGCAACACGAAGCCTTACCACCTCAGACCTCGAGGTCCGAGGTTCGAGGTCCGAGGATCGAGGTTGTTTCGCCTCGAGGTCCGAGGGTTCGAGGTCCGAGGACCGAGGGCCCGAGGATCGAGGTTGTTTCGCCTCGAGGTCCGAGGGTTCGAGGTCCGAGGGTCGAGGATCGAGGTTGTCTCGCCTCGAGGTCCGAGGTTCGAGGTCCGAGGATCGAGCTCTTCGGGGAGCTGTTCGCCCGGGCCAGTCCAAACCCGGATCGGTCGGGCTGCGCAGGCTCCCGCAGGAGCCTGCGCGCAGGCCTGGGCCAGTGCACCCCGGGCTCTGCATAGGATCCTGCAGGATCTCCGGCGCTCTGGCTCGACCGCCCGGCGGCGGTGGTGGGCGCGCAGCAGCCCGAGTGAGGCCTCCTCCTCCTCCTCCTGCAACTCCTCCTCCTCCTCCTCCTCCTCCTCCTCCTCCTCCTCCAACTCATCCTCCTCCTCCTCCTCCTCCTCCTCCTCCTCCTCCTCCTCCTCTTCCTCCTCCCCCTTTCTCTCCTCCTCAGGATCGACGGGCAGCCCGGGGGAAAGAGTGAGCAGGGGCGGGCCTCCTCGGAAGGCTCGGAGGCCCCCCGGGCCTTCTGCACAGTTCCTCCTGCCAACCCATGGAGCAAGGATGCGCGGTGAGGATGCCAGGGGCCTGGGCGCCCATGCCGAGGCTCTTCGAGCGGGGCTGGCCATCCAAGGCGCTTGAGGATGCACCGAAGAGGTCCGACGAGGACCGAGGAGGCAAGGATTTGAAGAAGAAAAAAAACGGCATACACATAAACTTGTGACACTGCGCGCGGATTTCTTGGATCTGCGCTGGACCCACCCCCCGAGCGCGCGAAGCGCGCCAAGGGCGGCGCTGGAGGCGCTGCCCGGGGGGCCCCAGCGCGGATCCAAGAAATCCGCGCGGAGCGCCAAAGTTTATGTTTACGCCGCCTTTTCTTCTTCGGAGGATGTAGTGGTACCCTTGGGAAGTCGATGACCCTTGCTATCAGGGTTGACTGTTGTACGCCCCCCCCCCCCGAGAAAAAACACCGAACACTTTTTGCGGGTGGATCTCTCAAGCTCTCCGCCGCCTCTGGCGGTGTGCGTTGCGAGCAGGAAGACAGCAAAGCCACAGGAAAGCGCGGCATTGACAGTGTAGCTCCGCACGCGTGACACACGTTAACGAGCAAGAACACAGCAAAGCCCCAGGAGCGCAAGGCATTGACAGTGCAGCTCAACATTGACACGGGTAATGGCCGGGGAGCCCCCGCGACATGTCCACGAGCGTTGCTCCACCCCGGCCGGTGTGGACAGAGGACGCGCTGAGACCCGGCCCCCGTCTCGAGGCTCCCGGCCGGTGGGGCCCCAGCGCCGCGGGCCGCGGCAAGCGCGCGCGCGCGGCGATCGTGGCGATCGCGCCTCCGCCGCCAGCCGCCGGCACACCGCGGAGGCCTCGGCCACGGCGTCCTAAGGCGGGCGGCGCTGGAGATACGTACCCGCCCCAGAGACTGGGGAGCAGGGCGTCCTTCTCCTCCTCTTTTGTTTGACGTTGGCCACGCATGAGCGTCTAGGCTGTTGCGTTCTCTCCTCCTCCTCCTCCTCCTCCTCCTCCTCCTCCTCCCCCTCCTCCTCCTCCTCCTCCTCCTCCTCCTCCCTCCTCCTCCTCCTCCTCCTCCTCCTCCTCCTCCTCCTCCTCCTCCTCCTCCTCCTCCTCCTCCTCCTCCTCCTCCTCCTCCCCCTCGTCGTCGTCTCCGTCGTCGTCGTCGTCTACGTCGTCTCCGTCGTCGTCCTCGTCCTCGTCCTCGTCGTCGCCGTCGTCGTCTTCGTCGTCGTCGTCATCGTCGTCGTCGTCGTCTCCTTCGTCGTCGTCGTCGTCGTCCTTCTTCTCTGCCCTTCTCCTTCCTCCACCTACTTTGCTTCTCCTTTCTTCTCCTTCCTCCGATCATGTTGTTTGGTTCGTCGGCAGCCCAGGTCATGGGCCGAGGGGGGGGGGGCAATGACTGTTACCCTTTTCGCTCTGCGCAGCCCCGCGTGTGCCCGCGCGCGCGCCAGTACTGCGTACCTGCTTCGGACGTGCGCGACCGACAAGGTTCGGTTATCGGAGGGGAGGGGGAGGGCCGGGGGGGCCCGATAACCCAGGCTGTCGCTGAACCCCAAAAAGCCAGTTTCCTGCCGGGGCCCCGTGACCGGGGACTTCGACACTCGGCGGCGAGCCCAAATGGAAAAGTCAGAGGGGCGGGCCTCCTCAAGAGGCTCGAAAGGGGTCTGGCCTTCGTATGAGCTGTCAGAGCCTTCTCCGGAGACAGAGCCGGCCGCTCAGAAGGCCGGAGGGCTTCTGAGAGAAGCCCCGCCGCCTTCTGGGAAGGCCTGCCCCCTCTCGCCTTCCCCCCCCCCGGGGCGCGCCAGTGAGACACGGCAGGTTCGTGTCGTGGCGACCCCGGCGCAGGTTTCTGACACCGCGTGGATCGTTCAACCTCGAAAGACCGGTGGCTTCGTGATTGCCAAATCATTCCATATATATATATATATATATGGCATGCACACAGGAAGCACGAACGACAAAGCCAGAGGATTCCGAATATGAGAACAGTGGGAGCCGCATAATTCTTCTTCGGGAAAATACAGTTGCAACATCATAGTCTGGAGCTGGCTTCATCATATCTCCCAAACACGTGCCTCTTGTACGGTCGTGCAAACACATTTCGCGCAAGTAAGGCGGGCCATCGTATGTTCGGGATCTTCGGCGTGCACGCACCCTGCAGCTTGAAGGACTTGCCGGAGAGAGACGTATGTTCTGGAAGACTTTGGACGCCGAGTCATGGACATGCTCGGCCACAACCGGCAATCTTATCATGAGCGACGTGGATGCACGAGGTGGGCATGCAGATGCCGGGGAATCGACGACAATAGGGCCGTTCAACTATGGTAGACGGGCTCCCCATCAAAAGTTGAAGAGCCCAATCGGGATTTGCGCATGGAGTTTTGCTTTTAGCCTCGAACTGCGATCGGTACAGTCGGGGCGTTGCCCTAAGGAACCCTAACTAAGGAACGAGGCCCCTGTTTCCCCTAAGTTTCAATTCGATGTTCCATCGGAAACCTCAGGAAAACCAAAGGCCAGCTGCAAAACAAGTAAGGAACACTGAGGCCCTCCCACACGAAAAGGGTTCCTTCGTCAGCGCCCCGACTGTACCGTATCTTGCCCTCCTCCCTCCAAGGGGGCCGGACCGGGGGCCGGACCTTCAGCTGGCTTGGGTTCCCTGCGGCAGCGTGCCAGAGCGGTGCCGCCCGAAGGCGCACTCGGCGAGGCGCCGGCTGCCGGGGAAGGCCCCACGGGCCCCTCGGACGCGGGAGAGCCCCAGCCCGAGCCCCAGCACCGAGACGCGCCCACGTCGCTGCTCGAGCAGACTTGGGAGGGCCTTCCCTCCTGGGGTTGGGCCGGGCATGTCCTCCTGCAGGCAGATTTTGGACGACGGAAACAAAAGAGTCGAGCGATACGCAGAAATGGTCCAAGGACCACGAAGCATCGTCACCAGCCAATTGCTACTATTCTTGAGTAATGCTTCCTGCAGAGGGACATGCCCGACTTAACCATACACCGAGCTCGCGCAACTCACGCAGCAACCTGCCTCCCCCCGAGGCTCTTCGGGGCATCCGCCCCCGAGGCCCCGGAAACCTCGGGGGCAGAGCTGAACACGGGGTGCGGGGGGCGCGCCGGGGACAGGCGGCGGTGCGCACGCAGTGCGGCGCAGCTTTTCACAGCGAGGGCTCGCGCGCCACCTGTCAGGTCGGGCGAAAGGGGGGGATAGCAGAGGGGGGGGGGGTGAGAATCAGCTCCCGCAGCTGCTTTGTCCGGCGCCTCCCGGCGCCGGAGGCGACTGTGCATCGAGGAAGGGGCCCCTCGGCGGGGCCGAAACCAGCTGCACGCAGCTAATTTCGTACCCCCCCGGCCCCTCGGCGGGGCCGAAAGCAGCTGCATGCAGCAAAAGATTCGCAACCCCCCCTTTACCCAATCCCCCCCCTTCGTCCGGCCCGAAATCTAGGCGCGCGCGCGCTCGCACCGCCGCTTCGCCCCGAGCGGAGCAGACCTGCGCGCAGGCCCGCGCGGCACTCGCCGCGCGCCGGGGCGCCCCGCGGCCCGAGGCGCGGCCTCCTCTTCGCGCTCCGCGCTCGGCGGGGCCACGCCGGGGCAGGGCTCTCCGGGGCCCTGCCAGCGCGCGCTCTCTCCCACGGACGAGGGCGGCGGCGGCACCGCAGGGGTCAGCATATGGGGGGCCTCTCGGAGAGCGAACCCCTCGCAGGCCCTCTCCGCCGCCCTCCCGGCCCCAAAAGTCCGCAGCCGCGCCGCCTGCAGCTAACACGAAGCCACGATCCGTGGCAGGATGCTGCCCGCCCTCGTCCTCGTCAGCATGCGAGGCAACCCGCTCGCGCGTGACGGGGGGGTCAGCGCTGTCGGCTCGGATCCTAGCCCAGAGATCCTCATTGGGGCCTTTGGTGACCTTCCTACTCCCACGCGGCCAAGGTTTGAGATGACCTTCGTGGTCCGTCACGTAGCGCATGGAACCCTTGGTGCACTCAAGAGCCACGGCAAGAGCAAGGGTTTCCGCTCGGGGTTCAGCTTAGCGAAAGCCAATGAGGGGGGCGGCTATCAGTTAGTTATGGCGCCCACCTGCCAGGCACTTTTGCGCCGCGCAAGCGCAGCCACCGCCGCGCCGCACCCCCTGCGACGCCGGTCATCAGAATGCCCGCATCCCGATCCGTAGCAGAACGCCGTGAGAGCCCCCCCCCCTCCCGATAATTATCTAAGGCACCTGCTCCAAAGAACATCATCTCTGAGGCATGCTTTCCTGCATCAAAGAGTGGCGTGGTGAGTGGCTTGGGCGCGAGCCCTCTTGACCACGGGGCAGGTTCGCTGTCCGCCGCCGCCAGCGCCTTCGGCACCAACGTGCTCTGACTGCCTGAGCTCGCTGTGACCGTTGGCGTTGGCTGGGCACCTCCGAATCCCGCGGGCCAGCGTCTGGTCCGACAGGCCGCAGCGTGGGAACTCCTCCTCCACGAGGTGCCCCGACCCTGGGGCCTTCGCCTGCGGCGCCACAGCCCAACGCTCACCGCTGCCAGCAGCCCGATCCACGCAGCCCACCCACCTTTCCTGGCGTGCCCGCCCACAGATCCCGTCGCACATGCAGGGCATCAGCCCCAGCTGCCAGGTCACCGCCGTCCTCGTGCTCGGCTGCCTGCCTCCACAGCTGCCGCCGCACATCTGCACGATGGCCTGGCGATCCATGATGTTGCCGAACGCGTCCAGGTCCGCCTCCACCAGGTGCTACTCCGTGCTGGTCTGTACCACCTCGGACTCAAAACTGTGCACCCATTCTGCTGGAGCCAGCTCCCCTGTCTGATCCACAACGCTGCCGAGCGCGCCTCCAAGCCAAGGTCCATGAGCGTCGCGATGACCGCACCCATGGGCCTCCGTACTCTGCGCCATCTGCCAGCTCCTCCTGCTGCTTGGAGCGCGCCTCTGATGGCGTGCCACCCCCTCTTGATCCCCACGTGCAGCTCAGGCGCGGCCTCCCGGAGGCATAGCTGGGAGCCACGGAGCTGGGCCCTCAGCTCGATGGCAGGGTCCTCTTCCAGGCCGCAGGCAAGGACTGTGGTGAGGCAGCGACCTCCGACCGGCCCCCCCCCTCCCCCACGGCGGCCCCCGCCTGCTGCTTCAGCTGCCTGGCGCGCGAGGGCGCGAACGCCTGCCGCCAGCGTCCGCACGCGGCCTGCGGCGAGGCTCCCGTGCTCGAGAGCCCCCTGGCCTGCAGGGCCCAGCGGCCAGGGCAGAGCGCCTCCTCATCTTCTCGGTGCGCTGCGCTCGACGGCCCGCGGTAGCCGTCCTCCCTCCCTGCTTCCTGCAGCACCTTCTCCGTCTGGCAGCCGCGTCGCCGCCCAGGTCCGTCGCACCCATCGCCTGCCACAGAAGCGACGACGGTGTGCAAAACTCAGTGTGCAGCTCACGGCCAAGCTTGATGTCAGACGCCAGCAACATGCTCTTGCTGGAGATAGCCAGGTCGCGCTCCTCCAGAAAGCCCATCACGGATTGGTTCGCCACCTCGTCCTTTCCTCTCTTGACAGCCTGTCGTGGCCCCTCGCACCGCGCCATCGCGTCGCCCACGAAGGTGCACAATGATGCCGGAGGGGGCGCCTGGTGCGCCTGGTCCAACACTCTGGGGATGAAAACATATGAAAACCTGGGCCAAGGATACCCCCCGCGAAGATCGCACCACCACCGATCTGCTCCGCCAGATCGTGTCAGTGGCACCATAGCGGCGGTCCTTGAGGATGCCTGGGCTGAGGAAGAGCTCCACCTCCAGCGCCACCGCAATGGCCAGGTACTTCAGCTGCACTACCTGCACTTCTCGATTTGTGCGTGTCATCCTGGCGCAGGGGCCATGCTGATCTCCTCTGTGTCGTTCAGGAGGAGGAGGACGACGACGACGAGGAGGAGGAGGATGAGAAGGAGGAGTAGGAGGAGGAGGAGGAGGAGGAGGAGGAGGAGGAGGAGGAGGAGGAGAGAGGAGGAGGAGGAGGAGGGAGGAGGAAGGAGGAGGAGGAGGAGGAGGGAGGAGGGAGGAGGAGGGAGGAGGAGGGACGAGGAGGGACGAGGAGGGACGAGGAGGAGGAGGAGGAGGAGGAGGAGGAGGAGGAGAGGAGGAGGATCGAGGAGGAGGAGGAGGAGGAGGAGGAGGAGGAGGAGAGGAGGACGAGGAGGAGGAGGAGGAGGAGGAGGGAGGAGGGAGGAGGGAGGAGGGAGGAGGGAGGAGGAGGGAGGACAAAGGGGGAGGGAGAAGGGAGGCAGGGAGGAGGGGAGGAGGAGCAGGCCCCCCTGCCGCGAGGAGGGCGGCGGGCTCCTCCGCTGCCGCCAGCTCGCCGCGGGCCTCCGCGGCGTCTGCCCGCGCGCTCGCGGCCTCGGCGGCGTGGGCGGCCCGGGCGGCCTCGCCAGGGAGGGGAACCCAGGCCCCTCCTTGGCGTCGTCGCCGCCGTCGTCGTCGGCAGTGAGTCGCCTCGGCCGCCGCCATCCCCCGAACTCCGGCGTCGTGATGTCGCAACGGCAACCCCAGAGGTCTGGACCCCTGCCCCGGGGCCGGATTCTCACCCTCCACGGGTTGGCGGCGCGCACACGGGGGTGGGGGGAGGGGGGAGGGGGAGGGCTTCTTAGAAGGAGGCCGCTTCTCAGAAGGCGCCAGCCCTGCATCTACAGAAAAGGCCCGCGCCTTCTAAGAAGCAGGGATGCTTCTGAGAAGCCCTCCCCCTTCCCCCGACCCCCCTCTGCGCGTCGCTGACTTCCACCATACGGTCGGGAACGTTTGCTCAGAGTGTCGCGGCGACGGCCCTGGCGACACGCTACGCCCTGCAGCGGATAGCGTGTCGCTCCGCTCCGCGGGGCGGGATGCTCGGCAAGGCTTGGGACGTTGAAGCCTGGAGACTGGGAAGTGGATAACAGCGTGTCGCGCCGAAGCGTGGTGGGCCAAAACTGGCGCAGCGACTCGCGATCCAAAAGCTCCCGACCGTGATGGTGTAGACGTTGCGGCACGTGGTGGGTTGTTGTTGCTGCTCATGTTTAGTCAGCATTTGCCTCACAACACTTTGGCAAAAGCCATTTTCAGCGCAGAGCTGAGCGGATCTGAAGGCCAGCCCCCAGGCTGCAACTTCTGGGAGCGCTGAGAGGAAGAAGACTCGCGGATCCCCTCCTGCACACTACCCTGGCCTCCTCGCGCGAGGGAAGGATCACGATGACCGTGGCCAATATGTCGCGGGAACAGTCATTGAAATCCACCGACCCTTCGGCACGTGAGCGACGCGTCGTCGTCTTCGTCGTCGTCTTCGTCGTCGCCAGGCCCAAGAGAAGAAAGAACGAATAGAGAAAAGAAAGCCGTAGTAAAGTCGACTCCCTCCCCCTTATCCCCTCCCTGACGGGGGGGTAGGGAGGGGTACGAGAGGGGGTGCGGGGGGGGGTTAGGGGGGGGTATGGGGGGGGGTACGCGGGGCTCCTGCCAGGTCCCAAGGGGTTTCCCCGCGGACAGGGGGATGGGGCACCCCCATCTGGGCGGGTGGTCGCCAGCGGGGTCCCGGGGGGAGAATAAGACCGATTACAACCACTTCGGACTGTTCAGAAATCACTTCGGTCATGTCACAGCCATTGGAAACGGACTGATCGCAAGCTGAAATATTCCGATACAAATCTTTGTGGAGAACACTGGATTGCAACCGGTCCAGGAGCTTCTGCAGAGCCTCTGCAGAGCTTCTGCAGAGCTTCCGCAGAGCTTCCGAAGAGCTTATGCAGAGCTTCTGCAGAGCGTCTGCAGAGCTTCTGAAGAGCTTCCGAAGAGCTTCTGCAGAGCTTCTGCCCTTCCAGGAATCTGGGCACTTGGTAGGATCCCTGGGAATCCCTAGGCATCCTTAAGAGGCCTTTTCAGGAATCTGGGCAATTAGTAAAAAAAAAACATGGGAATTCCTAGGACTTCCTGGGCAGCCCTTTCAGGAACCTGGGGAATTGGTCGGATCGCTCGGAATTCCTAGGATTCCCTAGAAAGGCGCTCTCGGGAATCTGGCGCTTGGTAGGGACCTCAGGGATCCCTAGGACTTCCTAGGATGCCCTTCCAGGAATCTGGGGGTTGGTCAGGTCCATAAGAATTCGTAGGGTTCCCGAAGAGGCCCTCTCAGGCATTTGGCAATTGGTAGGATCCCTGGGAATTCCTGGGATGCTTTTGGAAACCCTCCCAGGAATCTGGGAATTGGCAGGAGCCCTAGGAATTCCTAGGATCCCCTGAGCAGCCCTCTCAGGAATCTGGTGATTTGTAGGGTCCCCAGAAACTGTTGGGATTCCCTGGGAGGCCTTCTCAGGAATCTAGCAATCGGTAGCATCCTTTGAAATTCCTAGGATTGCCTCGGAGGTCCTCTCAGGAATCTGGCAATTGATAGGGTCCCTTGGAATTCCTGGGGTTCCCGAAGAGGCCCTCCCATTGCCGTCGCATTTCTGGATTGCTTAGGAAGCCCTGTTAGGAATCTGGCAATGGTAGATCCTTGGGAATTCCTGTGGATCCTTAAGAGGCGCTCCCAGGCATCTGAACAATTGGTAGGATCCCTTGGAATTCCTGGGATTGCCAAGGCGGCCCTCCCAGGCATCTGGCAATTGGTGGGATCCTTCGGAATTCCCAGGATTCCCTTAGAGGCCCTCTCAGGAATCTGGGAATTCGTGGGGTCCGGGGAAATTCCTAGGACTCCGTAGGAGGCCCTCCCAGGAATCTGGGAAGTGGTCGGATCCATGGGAATGTTTAAACTGTATTTGGGATCCTTCTCGGGAATCTGGCAGTTGGTAGGATCCCTGGGAATTCCTCCGATTCCCTAGGGGCCCCTCGCAGGAATCTGGGAATTCATAGGATCCGTAGGAATTCTTCAGATTCCCGGAGAGACCTTCTTAGGATTCTGGCGAATTCCTCCGGCGACTCACATTGGAATCGTATACGAATCACACTGGATGGAATCGTATACGAATCGCATAGGAATCGGATACGAACCACATAGAAATCGTATACGGATCATGGCCACGTTCGAACTCAACTATATGTGTTTAGCTGAGATCATGATGGGCCGTCGGTGATCGGACCGATCGCAACCGTTTTTTCAGATTCCAATCGGGCGGATTAGGGGAGTTCAGTGCACCCAGAAGGGCTCTTATGATCTCTCCCTTCATCGACACCTTCTTGAAGCGACCCAAAACCATCGCAACCGCTTCGGAGCGATCGCAACTGGTTGTGATCAGGCCGGAGTGGTCGACGATCGGTCCGAAATGGTTGCGATCGGTCTCCATCCCGTCCCGGGGGAGGTCCAACTTGTGTGTGTGGGGGGGCCTTGAGATTCCAAAGTTGTACTATAATGCCTGGACGAACTATAGATCAACCCTATGATTTCCCTGGACCGCACTATAGAGCAACCCAGGACTTTTGAGTGTATTGTACTTTTTTTCGTTAGCGCATCCTTCTTGGATCCCCTGAGTGAGGGGCATCACATATCATATCCGCACATGCGCGATCCGTAGCAGCGAAGGCTCGAGTGCATCGCGCTTCCTTTGTTCGCGCATTTCGTGCGGGCGCGGCCAACATGTCAGAATGCCGTCCCCCCCCGGGATCCCCGCTGGGATCCCGGAGGGGGGCGCCGGCAGGGGTCCCCCCCGGGGGAGGTCCAGCCTTCCGGGTCGGCGGCACCGGCCGTAAGGCCTTCACCATAAACATTAGCTTGCAGAGGTCCGCTGTAGCCGTCGTCGTCGTCGTCGTCGTCGTCGTCGTCGTCGTCGTCGTCGCGCTGCCAGATCCAAAGAACGAAAAGAGGAGAGAAGCGTCGGTGTTCAATCGACTCCCTTTCCTCCTTCCCTTCCCTGATGGGGGGTATATATACGGGGGGGGGGTACGGTCCTGGGTCAGATTACCGCTTCCCGGGGGTCCTGGTGGGTCCGGGGGGTGGGTCCCCGGGGAGGAGGAGAGGAGGAGGAGGAGGAGGAGGAGGAGGAGGAGGAGGAGGAGGAGGGGAGGAGGAGGAGGAGGAGGAGGAGGAGGAGGAGGAGGAGAGGAGCAAGGTAAGGAGGGTGAGGGGCAGGAGGAGGAGGAGGAGGAGGAGGAAGTCCTGGTCCTGGGGAGGGGTCCTGGGTCAGATTGCCGCCCCCCCCCCATGGGTCTGGGACCCCCCTCCCCCTGGGGGGGTCGCTCGCCAGCACGGGGGGGGGGAGACGAGGACGGGGGGGGGGCAGGTTGGAAGACGAGGACGTGGAGGGGCACGGAGGGGGAGGACGGGGGGGAAGACGAGGACGAGGAGGGGCACGGAGGGAGGGGGGGGGCAAGACGAGGACGAGGAGGGGCACGGAGGAGGCCGCGTGGGAGAGGCAGGGAGGGGCCCAGTGCAGGGGGCCGGCTCCTCCTCCGCAGTCGTGCCCGGCGGCCCCGGGGCCCGGCAAGGGCCCCCCAGAGGACGACCTTCCACCGCTCCATATATGTAACGCACGCGTTTGAAATCTGGAGCGTGTGCCACAAAACCACTCGCAAAAGCAGCGCGCGCGTCTGAATTCTTGTCGCACGCCCCTTTTTTCAACAAAATGCAACCATACTTTTG